AGAGTGGAGGGACAGCGCAGGAGGGGAAGACCCTCTATGAGGTGGATTGATTCAGTGACTGGGTTAATCAGGATGGATGTGTCAGAGGCAGTGAGATTGGCACAGGATAGAGCAGGGTTTAGGGCTGTTGTACATAGGGTTGCTGTGAGTCGCAAGCGACTGGACGGCACATAACAACAACAACAACGAAAGGTGATTAGCTGCAGTTGTTCACTTTTGTTGAAAGTGACCATGCCTCAAGTTCAAGTGCACATTGAGAAGCCTTTTGCTGCTCTCTCAGGGAGCCAAATACTGAAGAGGAACCAGTCTCTTTTTCTCACAGCCTTTGATGAGTATTCCTTCTACTAGCTCTCTGCCCTCTGAAAATGCAGGTAGACCTATTCAAAACTCTGCTTTACCCTCTGCATCTATCACATCCACCAGTCCAGCTGCAGTTCCTTCTAACTTGGCACACCCCAAAGAGAAAACCCCAATGTGTCTTGTGACTCAGTTAGCCCATTTCAACAAGATTCAACCCGAGTATAAGCTTTTGCGTGAGCAAGGTCCAGCTCACTGTAAGGTGTTTACTACGGCTAACACTTGGAGACCAGCACTGGGAAGCTGAAGGAACTAGTACTAAAAAAGCCCAACATTCAGCTGCTGCCAAAGCTTTGGAAGGAACAAAATTTCCTAAACCTATAGTCCGCCCTTGTAGTGAAGGAAGGAATCCAGAAAACAACTCCTAGTGTAAAACTAAATGCATTGTGCATGAAACTTCTAAGGAAAAAACAATGTACAGGCCCATTTACCCTTACTCTTCAGATGCAGTCCACCTACAGCTACATCAGTCAAGGAGGTGCTTATCCCCGGAGGTACTTGTATCCATTTTCAGTTCCACCTTTCCTTTATCAAGTTGAACTTTCTGTGGGAGGACACCAATTTAATGGAAATGGAAGGACAAAACAGGCTGTGAAGCACGATGCTGCTTCTAAAGCATTGAGGATTCTGCAGCATGAGCCCCCTTCCAAGAAGCTGGAGGTAAGAAGAGAATTGGAAGAAGACAATCTCAATAAATCGGAAATAAGTCAAGTGTTTGAGATTGCACTTAAAAGGAACTTACCTTTGAATTTTTTTTTATTATTTTTTTTAAATTTTTTTTTCTTTCTTATTTTTGTGTGCGTGTACCATCAAATCAGATCTGACTGGTACAGGAGGATATTGTCCCTCCTTCCCCGGCAGAGCATCTGGTGGATTCGAACCGTGCGCCTCTGGGATTGTAGTTGCAGCTCCTTGCCACCAGGCCACCAGAGCTCCCCTATTATTTTTTATTTATTATTTTTAAGCTTCATACAAGCAATTGTGCTCTGAAACTTTCTTTTTTATGTATTTAGGGGAAAATGAACATAACACAAATGTTGCATACATATGTATGATGTCTGTATATAAGAATAGGTGAATGCACACATACAAACACTTAACATTAACAATTTTTCCCTGAGTTCAGGATCTCCCAGGATCTTCCTTCCTTACTTCATAAATCCACACTTTGTTCAACTATCCTGATCACATACCCTCTTCTTTTTGAAATTATTCATCTCTACGTATTATATATCACTTAAGTATTTCCTCTCCTCTTCTTTCTCTTGCGTTCATTTTTCTCTCACATTTTCTGTCTCTTTTTCAGTATCCTCTTGCAGAAAATTTGGATAGGACGGAGATGACTTGGCAAGAAAAACAAATGATATCCAAAATTCTAAATAAACTTTAGTGGCTTTTCTTAAGGCTAAGTCACATATTTGCATATTTATTTGTATATATTATAACAATTTAACAAGCATGCAACTGTCTTAGAAATTTAATTAGGTTACAGTCTTTAAAGAAATGAATCACTGATGACACTTTTGAGTGCTGTATCCCTAATTTCATTTTCCTACACGCCATAATTATTTTTATTGCACACTTTTATGAATAGTTATTTTTATGGAAATGTTTTGCTTTAAAGCAGAACCAACTATATTATGTTTTACAAATTAAAACAAAAAATATGGGGAGCTATGGTGGCCTAGTGGCAAGAAGCTGCATTGCAACCTCAGAGGTACGCGGTTCGAATCCACCAGATGCTCTGCTGGAAAAGAAGGGGCAATCTCCTGTACCAGTCAGATCTGATTTGACGGTACACACATAATAAATAATAATGAAAAAAAAAACTTAAAAAAATAGATGATAACCAATTTTTATTGAATTGATCCTAGTACATCTCAGACACCCGGGACAAATTATAACATGCCTGTGAATTTTGAGGTTGCCCGTGAGAGTGGCCCGCCTCACATGAAGAGTTTTGTGACCAACGTGTTGGTCGGGGAATTTATAGTGGAAGGTGTGGGGAAGAGCAAAAACTTTCGAAGAAGAACACTGCAATTGTTGTCCTTGAGCTGAAGGAGCTCCTGCCTCTGCCCACAATGAAACATGCGAAGCCCAGAATTAAAAAGAAAACCAAGTCCATAGTCAAGCTGCACACAGGCCGAGACTATGGCCAGGGAATGAATCCAATCGGCAAACTGGCCCAGATCCAGCAGGTGAAGAAGGAGAAGGAGCCAGAATAGATGCTCCTCACTGAGAGGGGCCTCCCATGCCACAGGGAATTTGTGATGCCGGTGAAGGTCAGAAACCACACTGCTGAAGGATTCAGCACCAATAAAAAGGTGGCCAAACAGAACACAGCTGAGAACACGCTGGAAATCCTTGGTTTCAAGGTCCCACAGGCTCAGCCCACCAAGCCAGCCCTCATGTCAGAGGAGAAGACACCCATGAAGAAACCGGGGGATGGAAAGAAAGTGACCTTCTTTGAGCCTAGCTCTGCAGATGAAAATGGAGCTGGTAAATAAGGAAGACAGTTCAGAATGCTTTATCTCAACCACCAGCAGCAGCCTGCTGGGATTCTTCCCGTGGTGCCTGAGGTAGCCCAGGCCGTGGGTGTCAGCCAAGGACACCACACAAAAGATCTTTCCAGAGTAGCTCTGAATCCTACCAAGGCCACTGTCAGAGCCATGATTGCCCGCAAATTGTTGTTTGGAGGCACTTCGCCCACAGCTGAGACCATTTTCAAGAATAACATCTCTTCAGGCCACACACCCCATGGTCTTCTCACAAGGCCCTCTAAGCAGCTAGACTATCTCTCCAAAGTCCAGGGATTCCAGGTTGAATACAAAGACTTGCCCAAAAACAACAAGAATGAGTTGTATCTCTAATCAATTGTTCCTCTCAGCCACCTCTGATCAGGCACAGCATTGGAAAGGATGTGGAGTCCTGTCATGATATGGCTGCACTGAATGTCCTGAAGTTGCTGTCCGAGCTGGACCAGCAGGGCACGGAGCTGTCAAGGACAGCAAACAGGCCTCTGTCCATTTGTGGGAGGTGCTGAACCTTTACTGGCCATGAACAATATTAAATCCTAACATCTGTTCTGAAAATACTGAAACTACTTTGAAAAATTGGAACTGTACTGAGACACAGTGATTGACAAACTGGACGCAGCAGTGGTGAGAGATGGGAACCAGGAGGCAGTGTGGTTGACATGGTTTGTTGTGATGGGACCAAAGGAAAGAAAATGCCCCTTCCCCACTGAGCAGCCAAGCATGGGGTCCCAGCCTCCCTTCTATGCCCCACCCCACTGGGGGCTGCAAGGCCATGCGCAGTACACCCCAGCACTTGGTTTTGTTTTGGTGGTTTTGGCTGTGAAAGAAGGAACCACAGAAAGCAC